GATCAGATTATATAATAAGTAAACTGGTGCTGGAGAATGCTGAATTCAAAATTTGATATATGCTTTCTCGAGAAGAAAATGAGATCCATTTTGCTCTATGTTTTATTTAAATGCTCACCAGCAGTTCCTTCACCAATGAAATTTGATTGGCTTAGATTGTTTGTAGCAGAATACACTTCCTTGATAGAAATTTTTGGACAGCCTGACTCTTCAAAAGGATCATCCTTAAATGCTTCTGTTTACATACAAATCAGGCTTAATTAGTATGCACCATATGCAAGGTGTAACTTAGATTTGGTGTTGATACAGCTATGGAATATTATTGTTGGGCATACCGTCTTTTTTTGGTGGTGGACTTGATTGGATACGTTTCTTTAATACAATGCATACAGCTAGTGCTACTAAAACGAAGACACCTACGATGCCGCCTCCAATCACAATCCATAAACCTAGCTCCATTGAATACCATAATAGATAGCAAAAGCAACCAATTCAGTATATATTTTCAGCTCTGCAAATGCAAGTGATAATTCAGTGATGGAAGAAGCCTTACCTGTACTTATTTTCCTATTGCCCTTTGGTGGTAGTTGATTATTATCTGCCAAGGAGAAAGAGATGGTTTACAGACAAACTTGATCAGCAGATATAGTGTTGAGAACTTGTAACATTTAACAAATCAACACACACACAGATTGTAAGAAGTTTCATGAGGCTACATACTGGTGAAGAATTTTTGTGACCCAAGGCAGGTATAAACTGCAAGGAGATGTGCTTTATTTTCAAGTTTAATGCTTGTATGTGACACCAGGACTGCAAACCTGCAAACATTGGTCTCGACCTCGATAGATTCTGGATCGGTGGATGTGGAAGGCAATGCTCCTATGTCTTCCCAACTCTTCACACAGGAACCACACAACTGCTCATTTTTTCCATCATCAGAACTCTGAAACTTACAGTTCCCCTCAAGACTTTTCAACCTGTTACCCAACCTATTAGTAACATCAGCAACAGAGAAGTCAGAACAGCCCCCGGCACCACTTGTTAGCTTCTCAATCCCACAGCCAAAAACATTCTTCTGCAAATTCGTCATCGAAGCCAAGCAACTCCCCTGCTCGGCAGAGTTGAGATATATTTGTCCTGTTTGATTTGCCCGCTGCCCCAGCGCGTAGAGGTAGTCGTTGAATGCAGAAGCGCAGCAGTTCTTGCGCAGAAACCCTCCCCAGTCTCCCTCTTCACAAGTTGAATTTGGAGAAGGAAATGCTTCATGGTCAAAATGAAGGCTGCAATCAGACGCAGAAGGCTGAGAAGCTGCATAGCAGATGGTGGTGATGAGGATGAAGACGATAACATATTGGTTTAAAAGCTTGCTCTCATCCATGGTATTATACAGTACTTCTTATGTGGAGAACAAAAACACATCAAAAACCAAGTAGTCTCTTGGAGGTAGACTCAATCTGTAGAATTTGAGAATAATTGACCAAGGCTGGATTAGTTTGCAGCACATTTGGATTGAATTATGGACTCAAAATGTGTCACTGAAATTGGTCAAAACAGAAACTTGAGCAGACAGCTTCTGTAACAATTCCTTCTTGTTTGAACAGTTTGATGGGACGTAGATAAATCCCACCATGTGTTTAATGTGGTTAAAAAGGCTTGGATACTTCGTCCAAATTCATTAAAATATTAATTAATATGTAAATTATCCTCGGTCCATCCATTTCCCTTACTAGAAAGTATTGCTGCCGGCCAAATCCAATGCAAGCAGTTTATAACAACAAGAGAAAACGTCGCTGTTGATTCATTCTATGTTTTGGCCGTGTGTTGTTAAAAAATCTTCTCGAGCATACAAGGCAGACTAGACTGACTTAGCAGCATTATCTTTCCAACATCTAAAGTCTTCTCCTTGTCTTTTATCAAGCCAAACCCTATTGCCATTCTGTAGCAGGCACACATTCTTTAACCTCAACTTTGTTATTTTTTGTTTTCTATACAATCGATATTGAGGAGGGGATAATTCAACCTAGGACCTTGTGTAAGCTACAAGCCCCTTCCATCTTTATTTAATTTTAACCTCAACTTTAGTCCCAATGGTGAAAGCCCTTTGGTGGGGAAAAAATGAAAAACATAAAATTTAGGCTCATGATCCATAATTAGCCAATGGGAAAAAAAAATAATAATAAAATAAAGAAACAAATAATTACTAATTATTAGCAAAAATCTATTGACCTAAAGATACTAAAAGTTTATTTAGATAGTATAGCCGAACGGCTATACAATTGAAAATTTCTATTTAAAGAGTATAGCCATGCGGCTGTGCTATTGAAATATTCTATTTACGGATTATAGCCGACCGGCTATACGTTTGAGAAATTCTATTTATGGGGTATAGCCGGGCGGCTATACTTTTGAAATATTCTATTTACAGAAAAAGTTTTTAAGTAATTGTTTTCAGAATTTTCTTTATGGGATGAGAAAAGAAAAAAGAGGAACCTCCAAAGACTAAAAACACGACACGAGCACATAACCAGTCCCTTGAGGTTAGAGGAAGAAGAAACCACTGGATCGCCCTTCGTTGTCTTGACTCTTGAATCTTGACTAGTAACTAACTAGTAAGTCTCTCTCACGCTCTCTTTCTCTTGCTCGCTCTCGCATCGCATGTTAGGTAGCCTCTGATTGAGAACGCTGAATACGATTAGGGTTCGCGATAATCTAATTCAAATTTCATATTTTGATGCCGTCAATAGTCTCTTTTAATTGGTTCTGAATCTGAGCGTGGTAATTGGTTCATTGATTGCAGGGTGGTTTGCTTTGCCAAATGGAGAAGGATCAGAAGGTAGCATCCGAAGACCCGAAGATAGATTTGTTTGAAGACGACGACGAGTTCGAAGAATTCAACATCAACGAAGGTAATTTTGGAGCCCTGGTCCGTTCTTGTTAATTATCATAATTATATTCATATTTTTTAGTTAGTCTGTAGCTGTGCCTCTATAGTTGTTTGTTTCCCTTTGAACTTAATAGGAATTTTTGTGAACCAAATTACTTTTTCATGAGCATGTTCATTCATATAGTAGATAATCTGAGGTGGGTTTTGTTTCACTTTGCCTCCTGGTTATTTTTAATTAACAAAAAGTCATTCCCACTAGTTTTCTCGAGCTGTTTCTAGATTAAATTTAATCCATTTGATAAACAGATTTGTTCTAAGGAGCATGTATTCATGTATACCAGTGTATACTCCATCTATTATGGTCTACTAAGATAATGATCTTGATTGTAATATGAATCATTCGAGCCGCATCAGAGCACCAATGCCCTGCAATGATACAAAGGAGGTTTCTAGTTGAGATAGATGGCATCATGGTATTGGTTCTTTCTGTTGAATAGGATGTTGCGTTTTGTTTTAGGAGTTTATGGGATCTCTGTCTTTGGTTGTGAGAACTGGCAACAGCCTGGTTTGAGAAATAACAGCATTGGAACTTGGAATGTACAATATGAAGTAGCCGTATGCTGGGGCTTCACCTCTTCATTTTAAACTGTTTATGAAAAAAAGATATGTTGAAAGGGATAAAAGTGACAGGACATGATTTAATAGGATAAATCATCATCTTCAATTGTATTGATACTTTTTTCTTTATTGACTCCGTTGTTTTGTTTATGCCGACAGAGTGGGATGAGAAGGAAGAAGGGAAAGATTCAGCACAGCAATGGGAGGATGATTGGGATGATGATGATGTCAACGATGACTTCTCTCTGCAGCTGAAGAAGGAACTAGAGAACAATGCTGAGAAGAGCTAGGTTCATGTATCGTTGTCTTCCGTCCCTTTGAACTTCATAATCATAGTGATCTGGTACCATCGATTCTAGTTGACAGTAGTGCTAGAAACTTAGTATGCCTGTTATTTGGTGGGTGGCCAAACCCATTTCATTTGAAACTCATAACTGTGGTTTTTGCTGTTCTTGGTTAAAGAAAATTTCAGTTGTGTGAATGACTTTAATAACTGATGTGGTCTTGATCCCCTATCCCTTGTAGAGATATGACTATATTCTCTCAGTTATCATTGCCTGTTTTTGGATGTGGCCTGTTTCTGTTTTCTGAAATTAACATATGAATCGGTAGTCAGGATACATCATCTTGACTGAAAATTTATGAGCTCTCAATCAATGTGCAAGTCTAGCGTGTGTCGGGACGAACCACCTAAAACTATATGCCATCACTTGGCCATCACTCTGCACCATCTGGTAACCTTCTTTCTCACCTCCTTCCCCAGCTACCCCTCCAACTCTCTCCACCTTTCCTGAGCTCAGTCTCCTTCTACAATGCCCCCATATGTGGCTCTGACTCATTCTTGCTTTTAACCTACAAGGCTACAAAGAGGCAGTTCACCCTTGATTTCTCCAGCCCGTTGTTATTTCTTTGAGTTGTGGAAATTGAAATAATCTTCTTGAGGCCCAAAGAAAATATACAAAACATATCTTTCTTGCACCATGTGAGCTTTTGCAAGAACCCAACCCAATACACCAGCCGTAGGGTGCACATACACAGTGCCAATTCCAATAGTCGAAAAAACAAATATAAAACTCTAGACCTGTCACCTATGGTTTCATTCTCTGTCTTTTTCCTTTTTAACTGAAATTTTCGTTTTTATATGCACTGGAAGATAATATGATGAGTACATTCAGTTTTATTCATAGCCATACACTTGACTTTCGGCATTTGCCCTATCCCACATGCCACTCGTGACTCGTCCTGTACAGTATCTATCACCACCACCTTGTCTGGTTTTCAATAGGAAACGTTAAGCGAAATATATAATACGAAATTTATCTTGTCCTTTCAAAAAAGGAGATGAAAGAACGAAAGAGAAAGAATATGATATTTTGGTAAGCCTTCTTTCTTTCTTTTCTTAAGAATGTGAAGCAATCATGGTAGATAAATCAATTTTTTAAAGATGTTTCTTATTGAGAGGGGTGATAATATATTAAACTCACATACACTACATGGATGCTAGAACTCGAACCCAATATCTTGTCTGAGCAAACGATTACTCCAAACAACTACATTAGTGGGTCCTTTGCAGATGGTAGATAAATTATAAATACAAACTTACCAAGATTTTATTATTTTTGTAAATAAATAAAATATTGATAAATTAAAGCGACGTATACACCCCATCATCAACTGCTCATTGATTTCTCTTCCTTGTTGCCTATTGTCTCATCAATAAGCGACTGCAACGACCGCCACGACGACCCACCTTCCTTCACAGCCTTGCTTGCCAAGTCAGCAAACTCCTTCACCTTCTTCCTCACCTCCTCGCCCTTGTCTCCCTCCATCAACTCCTTGACCATCTTCTCCAACTCCTCTGACTTCACAAACCCTTTCACGACTGAACCATCACACGTCTCTACCCTCCGCCCCACCTTCATCTCCTCCACCACAAACCTCGCATTCAGATGCTGCTCCGCCATCATGGGCCAAGCCAGAATCGGCACTCCGGCGCAAATGCTCTCCAGCACTGAATTCCATCCACAGTGACTTAAAAAACCCTGCACGCTCCCATGCATCAGAATCCGCCTCTGGTCAACCCACTCTTTGACCACCATTCCCCTCCCTTTCACTCTCTCCTCAAACTCTTTGGTCAATCCATCGGACGCTGTAGCGCCACTCTTCTTCTTCACAACCCACAAAAAGTTGACGTTCGAATTCTCCAACCCTTTAGCAACTTCTTGGAGCTGTTCAGCTGACAGCTCAGCCTGTGACCCGAACGCAATGTACAAAACCCAGCTTCCCTCCTCCAGCTTCTGGTCTAGCCACTCAATCCACATGGGCTTATCATCATCTTCATCATTAGTGCTATTAATATCATCATCTTGTGACAGCTGGAGAAGAGGGCCCACACACCAGGCCCTGGGCCCACACTCTGTGTTCCAGTAGTCGGTGAAGACTGGCTCGAGCTCATAGAAACTGTTGACGATCATGCCGAAGCTACGGACGGTTGCCACCACACTTCTCATGTTGAACTCAAAGGCTTCGTGTTGAGCAGCATCAGTGCTACTGTCTCTAAAAGATTCGTGGAAGTCCTTTTTGGTAATTTTGATCCAAGGAAACTGAGTCACCGTGATTAACTCGGTGTCTGACTCGGGCCCCTCCAGGAGCCGGTTCTCGGCAACCAAGGGCGGAACCAGGAATTTTTCAACGGGTGGGCTATCTAAAGTTATTAGCTTAAAACTTAATGATTATTTTTTTTGGTACTCAAAATTTCTATAGTCGCTCGAGCTCATAGAAACTGTTGACGATCATGCCGAAGCTACGGACGGTTGCCACCACACTTCTCATGTTGAACTCAAAGGCTTCGTGTTGAGCAGCATCAGTGCTACTGTCTCTAAAAGATTCGTGGAAGTCCTTTTTGGTAATTTTGATCCAAGGAAACTGAGTCACCGTGATTAACTCGGTGTCTGACTCGGGCCCCTCCAGGAGCCGGTTCTCGGCAACCAAGGGCGGAACCAGGAATTTTTCAACGGGTGAGCTATCTAAAGTTATTAGCTTAAAACTTAATGATTATTTTTTTTGGTACTCAAAATTTCTATAGTCTATAAACCACGCTAGTTCATAGCTCCATAAACTAATTTTCAATAAGTTTTAACATAAACCAAATAGGATTTAACACCATAGTGGATTGAACATCTAAGGCTTTTTTACTTAGATTGACCTTAGTTCCTTCATGCATTCATATCATACATGAAAAATTGTTTTATGTAAAAATATTGACTCAGTATGAAAAATGGGTTTTTAGAATAATCATTTTTTGAAGATAATTTTTGGCGGCTTTTATTCCTCACACATCAAATAAGAAAACTTGATTTTATGGGATTTTAGTATGAAGTATATATTGACTTAATGAGCCATCATTTGTAGCCTAAATCGTATTTTGTACTAAAACCGATTTTTCATATTTTGATTTGGTGGGAATTTGATTTTCTAGTATTTTTATTTGAATCCAAATGGGGGGCACTTCCTTATTTACATTGTAAACTTAAGTAAATGGAGTAATATAAAAATAAATAAAAGTAAAATGACAAAGACATTGACTTAAATGTTGAAAGTGGAAATAAGGTAATCTATATACCACCACTGACTGGGCTAATATTGAAAATAAGTTAAATATATAAGTTATATTTTTTTTTTCTTAAAAAACAACACTGGGCTACAGCCCACTGTAGCCCTTAGTAAATGGGGGGCACTTCCTTATTTACATTGTAAACTTAAGTAAATGGAGTAATATAAAAATAAATAAAAGTAAAATGACAAAGATATTTACTTAAATGTTGAAAGTGGAAATAAGGTAATCTATATACCGCCACTGACTGTGTTAATATTGAAAATAAGTTAAATATATAAGTTATATTTTTTTTTTCTTAAAAAACAACACTGGGCTACAGCCCACTGTACCCCTTAGTGTGGTTCCGCCCATGTCGGCAACGACTTTGCCCACCGCCATGGGGAAGTTAGCGAAACCGTAGAAGACGAATCTGGGGAAGCCGAACTTGGTGGCGGAGTCGGAGACCAAGAAGCTGACACGTGGAAGCGTCTGGAGGGCCCGTTCGAAGTCGGGTTGCATGTGCTCGGTGGAGATGGTGAAGGGGAAGAAGAGGTCGAGGGAAGGGAGCTTGTCGGTGCTTTCGATACCAACGGGGATTCCGGGGACAGTGTCTTGAGGGAAAGGGATGTCGACCACGGTGGCGGCGGCTGATGAGGTATCGGCGAGGGATTGATCGATGAAGGGGCGGTTGGCGGGGGTGGTGATAATGGTGACGCGGAGGCCGCGAGCGAGGAAAAGGCGAGAGAGGTGGAGGAGTGGAATGGTGTGGCCTTTGGACATGAAGGGGAACAAAACGACGTGGCCCTCATGCTGTGAATTTGACGTGGCCATCTTCTCTTTGATTTTGTTGTTACAAATAATTTCTAAACAAGTGTATATTATCTATATATATAAAGCAAAAGGGAGAGAATTGTGAAACATTCAAAATATCAGAAAATGCTTTGGTTAATTCAAACATTAAGAATTGAAATTATTAATTAAATGAGAATAATATGGTAAATTCACTTTTTTCATATTAAAAAAAATAAAAATAAAAACAAAATCAAATAATAGGTCCTATTTTTATGGAACATAACTACCCATGTTATATTTTCTTAATTCTAAAAATAAAATAAAAAATAAAAAATCAAACCAAGTGAGCATGTGTCAAGGGGCTAATATATATATATATATGTACATCATCAAATCATCAATGACATACCCACTCGTTGAATATCACTAGAGGTGAAATCTACTGATATAATGAGATCCGTTTTTATTAGAGAAGTGGTACATAATGTAATATAACTAGTGTTGGATATCATTAAAGATGGAACCTACCAATATATATAATAAGGTATGCTTATATTAGAAAAGTGGTACACAATGTAATATAATTAGTGTTTAATATCATTAAAGGTGAAGCCTATGAAATCCGCTTCTATTAGAGAAGTAGTATACAATGTAATATAACTAGCATTTTTGTTATAGATTACAACAACTTCGAGCCGATATTACAACACCCTAAAAAGAAAAACATTCTCGAAGAACCGGGACATACAATAGACGCCAAATAAAACTTGCAGGATTTAAATGCATGTGCGGTTGATTTCAGAAGAAACCAGACTGTACGTATGGGGGATTGTGGAGGCGGCTACTTTTCCCACTGAATTGTCAATTCAAAATCCAATTATTTTGATAGCCAAACTCTTGTAGAGATTCACCATTATAAAAAAGCAGCGGTGAACAGAGGTGTGAGAATGCGACTGTTTTCATTTTCCTTTTTAATTACTTGTTGGGTTTTTATGTGGTTGGTTTTAAATCTCAGTGACAAGGATTTGGAGTTGAGAGTTGCATTTAGGATATAAACTTAACAAGTTCTAACCGTATACGTAAAATATAAAATAGAGACTCATTGAGCAACATTATTTTATTTCTTTCAAACAAGCAAAGAAAAATAAAGTACCATTATTTCTAGATTTATTTTAAATATATAGGAAAAAAAGAAGAAGAGAGAGAGAGAAGTAAATAAATGCATGCAGCCTACCAACTACTCATTATGAGATCCCGATTCATCATCTAGTTTCTTGCTACTTAATGTTGTCTCATCTATAAGTGATTGCAACGTTAGCCATGACGAGCCACCCTCCTTCACAGCCTTGTTTGCCAGCTCAGCAAACTCCTTCACCTTCTTCCTCACCTCCTCGCCCTTCTCTCCTTCCATCAACTCTTTGACCATCTTCTCCAACCCCTCCGACTTCACAAACCCTTTGACTGAACCATCACACGTCTCCACCCTCAGCCCGACCTTGATCTCCTCCACCACCATTCTCGCATTCAATGGCTGCTCAGCCATCATGGGCCAAGCCAGAATCGGCACTCCGGCGCATATGCTCTCCAGCACTGAGTTCCATCCACAGTGGCTTACAAAACCCTTCACGCTCTCATGCATCAGGATCCGCCTCTGGTCAACCCACTCTTTGACCACCATTCCCCTCCCATTCACTCTCTCTTCGAACCCATTTATATCCCAACCCGCAGTTTCTTCTGACCCTTTGCTTCGTATGACCCACAAGAAATTGATGTTTGAGTTTTCCAACCCTTTCGCTATTTCTTGAAGCTGCTCGGCTGACAACTCAGCTTGCGTTCCAAATGCAACATACAAAACCCAACTCCCCTCCTCCAGCTTCTCATCTAGCCACTCAATCCAGATGGGCTTATCATGATGATCGTCGTGTGGCTCATCTTGTGCAACCTGGCACAGAGGCCCCACGCACCAGACCTTGGGCTCACACTCACTGTTCCAATAGTCAGTAAACACAGGCTCAAGCTCATAGAAACTGTTGGATATCATCCCGAAGCTACGAATTGTTGCCACCACAGCCTTCATATTGAACTCAGAGGCTTGACTTGGTTGGTCATGATCATCCTTTGTAAAAGCTTCGTCGAAGTCCTTTCTGGTAATTTTGATCCAAGGAAACCGAGTCACGGTTATTAACTCGTCGTCCGACTCGGGCCCTTGCAGCAGGCGGTTCTCGGCAACGACTTTGGACACAGACATGGCGTAGTTGCCGCAGCCGTAGAAAACAAACCTCGGGAAGCCGAGCTTGTCGGCGGAGTCGAGGGTCCACCAGAGGAAGGCGTCGGAGACCATGAAGCTGACACGTGGAAGCGTCTGGAGGGCTCGCTCGAAGTCGGGCTGCATGTGGCCGGTGGTGAGGGCGAAGGTGAAGAAGAGGTCGATGGAAGGGAGCTTGTCAGTGCTCTCGATGCCGGCGGGGATTTTGGGGGAGATGCTTTGAGGGAAAGGGAGAGAGATCACAGAGGCTGAGGTATCGGCGAGGGATTGGTTAACGAAGGGGCGGTTGGCAGGGGTGGTGAAGATGGTGACGCGGAGGCGGCGAGCGAGGAAGAGGCGGGAGAGGTGGAGGAGTGGGATGCTGTGGCCTTTGGACATGAAGGGGAACAAAACCACGTGGCCCTCATCCTCCACATGCTGCGAATTAATCGTACTCCCCATATTTCTCTTCTGATGATTTTCTTCTTTCTTGTGAAATAATTTTGTAAGATTGAGTGAGTAGCAGGTGCACGTATAAAATGCGCATTGGTGCAATATATATAGCCAGGTACTGATTTTCCCACTCCCATTTTATTCATTTACACCCTATTTTTTTAAAAATTATATGTTCTCACCCCTTTTTTGTCCCTATATATAATATAGTAGTCATGAGTTCAAGCTACTATGGTACCGTGTGTGTGAATTTCCGACTCTCCTTTCTTACTTTAGCCACACAAAAAATGTCGGCAAAGTCAATGACCTAAGCTGATGCACTTATATCTTCTTTTTGGCTTACCTAAATTACCCACGGAAGCTGATCGTGATGGATGTTAAAAAGGAGAAAAACAGAGGGAATAATTTATTTGATGTCGATTTTTATAAATTTTAAAAATAACAAGAACCTCACTTGAATATAACCAAATACCCTCAAAATGAAAACCCAATAACACATAATTAACGCACTAGAGCCATTGAATTCATTATGCGACTTAGTTGTGAAACATTTGCCCTTCGTTTGTTTGGGTTTCTTTTTTTTTTTGGGAAAGTAGGGGTTCCTTAAAAAAAGTTGAAAACTAGAAATGAGATTAAAAATAAATGGAAAACAAAGGAAACCCCAACTCCCTCCTTCCTCCCCATTGCTGCCGACACCCAAAACGATTCACGCTGCATGCGCTGAGTGAGTCGTTTCAGAAGAATAATCTCATCAACGAACAAGTCTCATTTCTGCCTGCCTGCCTGCTACTTGTTGATTTACAACAATGTCTGCCCACAATTTATATAACATTCCGGATAATCAACTAAATTCTGGAATCTAATCTAGCTGAGTTTGAGTTACATGCACACTTCTAAATACCCCTATATAATTGAAAAATAAAAACCTCGCCAAAGATTAGACATATAAACAAATAACTGTACGTGAAAAAGGGAAAAAGAAAACAAACAACTCCAAAGAACGAAATAATTGAGTGAAATCTTCCATCAAAGATGACGATGGTCTAGAGCTGTTCGAGAGCAGAAGTATCACCTGTCCAAGCCACAAACAGATTCAAGTTACTTTCCTAGGTATACATAGGAAAGAAAGCTACCCAAATTCTCACGACAGCATCAAGCACTCCCACCTTGTTTTGCCTTAAGGACAAGCTCCTCCGTGGTGGTGCCGATGATCTCATTAGCACGTTTCAGCCCAACGCAGTAGAACCGTCCAACGGAATCCTAATTCATGGGTAAGTTCAAGTGAGAAAGAAGAAAGAAAAAAAACGAGAAAAGAAAAGTGCTCAGCATTTTAGTTACTGGACTTCTGCAAGCAAGGGTGCCGGTTTATCGCATCCCTCATGATATCAGGGCTGCAGGGAATCTTACCTGAGCAACAATTCCTAATTTCATCAACTTATGAACTGCATCGTCCACATCAAAATTACAGTTGGCGTTAAACTCTTCTTTAATTAGTTCCTCACACCACCTATCCAGATCCTATAATAAAATCATCCCCAAGTAGGACTTCATCAGTACTCTACTACTCAAGAATGCACATTGTATTTCTTGCAGTACTTAGCAAACTGATAAATGTACGTAGAAAAGCAATCTAAGAGATGTGTACTTGTGTTGTAGCTTTCCCTTGCTCCATTAGTATATAGAAAGCAATTATCACCTCCTTGACCTGCACATTCAAGAAATGGAGTAACCGTATAAGCCTTTCGTCCTGTATTGAACATAATCTCTTCCTGCATCAGTGCTAATATTAAGCTTGAATCAATTCAAATTTAAAATGACAAAAAAGTTTTGAGTTATACTATTAACATGTCGCAACTGCATCTCATTCACCTGACATTGTTAGTCATACGATATCTGACCTTGCTTACGCTTGATTATTCACAAGGTGGCCCTCATAAATCAAGTGTTAAATTGACAAAAATCAAGTATGACATAATAAACCTAAAAAAAAATCCTTCTAATTGCGTTCAGACTCATACATATGAGTGCACATAAGTACATGCAACCACGAGAATTAGACTATACTCCAATGGGTCAAGAATAAGCTCTCCATACGTATCAGTTAGATGCATCAATAATTCACACACAAAAATACAAGTTTATCAAGCTTGCAGCTTACTTCCTGTTGAATCACATCATCACACAAGTGAAGAAGAGTACCCCTTCCGCTATCGAGTTGTTTGTCGTACATGGACTGTGTTATTAAGTTCTGATATGCTACCAAGTTCTGCTGAAAACTGCATACAATTGAAAAGCCATAGGCACATGAGTAGTTGACAAATTATTCAATTAAAAGAACAACAAACAAAGTGAGCCCTCAATGCAAACATGCAACCACAGCCCATGGCCAGTCATCATCATCAGAACAAGATTGATCATGTCAACTTGTCAGAGAAAAGTTTTCACAGATATATAGACTCCCCTCTTCTCTTTTTCATGTGTGACATGCATATTAATTTTATCAATTTTGTGCACATGCATATTAATTTCATGTGTGACAGACTCTTTTGTGTACATGTGTATTAATTAAAAGAATAATATATAATCCAAACATGAACTGTAATAAGAGACTTAACGTGAAGTATATCTTAGCGCAGTAACCAATCACAGTGGAAAGAACTGCAAAAATAACCCAAAATTCAGCTTTAGGCATTTCAATCGAACCAACAACAGCAACCTGTAAAGAAGGAAATGGTAAGCCAAATTTTGCCGAGAAAAAGTGACAAACAGTACACCAAGACAAATTTCATTGCTATCTCAATTAACTGACCAGCCCAACTACAGCAGAGCCAAGGAACTTGACCCAGTCCATTGGGGTTAACCCAGGGTTCTTCTTCTCAGGCTGTAAAAGGCAAAAGGTTCCTACACCAGGTCATCAGCGGTACAAGGGCTACGAGGAGTATAAAATTCCACAAGGGGAGAGAGAGAGAGAGAGAGAGAGAGAAACACACAAGAACTATCTCCATATCAGCCATCGGAATATTTCTGAAATGTTTCACATATATTCCTCGTTCCTCTTTTGCTTTGGTACTTGCTCGCCTGAAGAGTCATAATTCTCTTATCAATAAATTATTTTTCATGGTTCTTTCAGGACTTGTTTCCTAGAGCATCAATCCAATTAGAGGCAAGGCAACTAAACCCCCTCACCCTTAAAAAAAAAATCTGTAACTTATGACAGTATCATGCATTGAACTTTCTCCTATATTAGACAAAGCTCTGTTCCCTTTAGAAGAAAATACACTGCACGAAGCAACTAGGAGACTACATGCTCAAAAATATAATTTAAAACTGTCAACACTGATATGCCTAACCTAATACCAGCCAAATTGCTCACAAGGAAATTAGGAAAAAAATTTGACATTATCAACAAAAAGAACAGTACCTGTAAACAACAATTATCCTATCAAAGGTTGGCTCTTTGATCGTGGTCTTGCTCAGCAAATTTTTAGCACTGAAGGACAAAGCATATAAATTTCAAAAAGTGGAAATAGTCACAATAAGATTGAGACAAGGAACTCAAGTCAAATCAAAGGCCTCCTTGCAGGGAAATCAAAGGCATATTTCTATTTATACGTATGCATGTTTCATAAAGAGGGAATCAGATTTAAAATGGTTTTAATTGCTATTGCATGATCGTCTATAAGTATAGTCTGAAATCAAGAGTATCACTGAGAATCCAGAGTAACAGAGAACTTTTAGAATCACAATGAAAAGAAAGTTTTAGGACACTTGAGAGTAATTCAAGGCATGCTACATGGAGAAAAAAAAAATCAAAGTTTCAATATGGATAGAAAATTTCAGGATCCATCCAACCAAATTTAAGCAAGCAAGAGTGAGGAAATAAGACCCAACTGCATAGAATAGCCAGCATACAGCATAGTAGTCTGCCAGAACTAACAGCTCAAGAAAAAAGAAAAAGAAAAAAACAGTACACTAAAACTAAAGCCATGCAGAAAAAACCTTAGTTCCATTTTTTCTAGACGGATTCGTTCAACATATAAGTCTTCATCCTCTCCATCTGCTTCAGAGCTAATTTCCTCCTTCTTCTTTGGATCTGTCCTAGGTCGTCCACTTGATCTTCTGGATAAAAGTTTTCCGACCCTGCAACAAGAATAACACCAAAAAACGAAATACACAAAGAAATGCTAAGCTTAAATCAAATAATATCTAAAGAACATTTTCTCAGCTATTTTCTCAATAATTTTGGTGATACCAATCACCAATGATGCAAAAGATGATGTTTCAAATAGACTCCATTAAATGACTTAAAACTGTCCACTGATTTTAAAGTTTAAACAGTTTTGACCATGATTTCCAAAAATATGTACTTTCCAGTAGCAGAAGGTCAATAACCAAAAACATTTAAAGAATTACTTACTTAGTTATTCGTAAAAGATAAGCCCAAAAGCGTGCAATGATCATGTCCACTTTCTCCATGAAAAAGTAATCAGTGGTCTGATCAAGTCCAACACCGCGTCGGAAGATAATGTACTGAAGTTATAAATAAAAAATGCAGATTAGACCTCTAGAGAAAGAGATATAGTGGAAGGAAGAGAGGGAGGGTGGGAGATTAACTAATATTTCCTACGTCAAACTAGGAAGAGGCGGATAAGCTAAATATGTGCAATCCTACATAATCAGCAACTCAAAATACTGGGTTTAAACATTCCAAATGTTTATAGTGTTTTATGCTGAACTTTACAATACCTTGTCACAAAAATCGGGAAGGTTTGGTTGAGGACGCCTTTCAAAAAATTTCTTTAAAAGCTTCTTGTCAAGCTGCATTCAACAGGCACAATACAAGGGATCAGCATATGCGAAGGGGCCATAAAAAAACAATAAACAATAAGAAACAAGAGTTACATTAACACTTGCAGGTTTGCACTTACGAATCTTAATGAATTGAAATTTAGAAATACATATCTGTAATTACAAACCTTAGACTCATCAACCACGATGGGTAGATTTAGAAGATACTGCCCTGAATGCGCAACCTCAATTTCCTCATTGCTTGCTATTTTGAAATTACTCTTTTCCATCACCTGTATCATAACTAGAATTTAAATATTCCACCCTTGTTGTAGAATGATAGTTCGTAAAACTCTATAGTAAAAGAATTTGGTTTAGTCCTATTTTGGCAGTTCAGATATTATTTAATTTCCTACACTTAAACTGGCTTTCCTTTGCATAAATATAATCATTCAATTGTGACAAAAGCCTTCATTTCTCTTTTTTTTTTCCTTTTTTTGTTTTTCATGTTTCTTTCAATTGTATGCCATACAAGGAAAAACTAAAAACTAAAACACAGTGAAGCAGCCATACCTGAAATAAGTACGTCAGGAAATTCTGTTCAAGTACATCAATTTCTTTAGGAGGAAGATTCTGTTGTTCCAATTTTTTAGCCCCATTTACAGGGTCAAAGAGGGAGTAAAGTTGCTGCAAAGAAAATGTGTCAAACAAAACTTATGATAATCAGCGGAAAATATCAGGCTGTAACACGAGAAAATAAACAATGCAAATTGTAGATATGAATAGTATCAGGGTCAACATGGCCCTCAAAATATGAGCATACCATCAAATCCTCAAACTGTAGAAGATACCAAGCCCGAATTGTGTACTCAACTCTCTTGCAGAGCTTTAAAAACTCAGCCCGGTCAGAACTATGTTCTGCAGAAATACGAACACCCAGTTTTTCGTTAAGTAGCATGATGCGAAACTAAGCAACACAAAAAAACAAAAAAAAGACAAATCTTTGCATCTAAACCATAAATGGTATCAAGAATTAAGACAAGGGATCAGTTTCAGAGAAATGCAGGGACTCTAAATTTGTAGATTGAAGAAACAAAGACGACCCATGAATTAAAATGAAGCCGCCAGTGCCCAAAGCAACAAACTTTGAACAAAACCCAGAAATCAATCGAAAAGGGCAAAGCAAGGTTGAGCACGAACCAATGAGGTTGGCCAAGGTCATGATGATTTTGGGCTTGATAATTGGGATGACGGATTCACGCTCAATTCGAATCATGTCCTTCTTCTTTTGCTCCATTTTTTTGCTTTGCTTTGCTTTGTTTGTTTTCTGCGAAAGCGGTATCGCCAATGGCACAGCAGCCCAACCTGTGAATTCAGCTCCTTTAAGAACACGAATTATGAGATGACGGTTGAGGTTAGATTCTTTCTTGGGATTAAATGAAAGGGTTATTTTGGGTTTGGGGTTTTGGTTTTGGTTTTGGTATATATTTTACCTTCTACTAAGGGAGTGTTTTGTGTCTTCCTTGCAAACAGAGTGTCTCTGTCGGGGGAGAGAGTGAAGTTGAAGCCAAACCACAGAAACAGAATGAAATGCCAAAAAGAGAACAGTAAATCATTTTTAGATCACACTTAATACAATCAAACGTCTTACGGGTGTCGACTGGTTTACGTTTATCAGAAAAACTACTGTTTTACTTTTAAAAGCATGAATTTGATTTCCTTCCAAGTTTAGTTTATTCCATTCATGAGTGTATTTAAACTGCTATTTTTCAACAATTATACTTGAATGGTTATGATATATACTTAGTTAACAAATCATATTCTGATCTGACTTGCATTGAAGAGTTTGTTTTTTATTTTTTATATACAAGCGAGAGTTTAAATTACCCTAAATAGAGGGAGAACTCGAATTTGGGTTAAGAGAAAGGACACACCGACCAACTAGCCAAAAAGAATAAATTTAGCTGACAATAAGAGGGTGTATAAAATATTGCAAGTGTATATACACAGAGGATTGGCATATATTACATGTGAAATCATCTTATGCAGCCTCATTGCTAACATATTCACTCAGGTGACAAGGATTGGCATATATTACATGTGAAATCATCTTATGCAGCAATGCTAACATATTCACTCAGGTGACCGAGAGGTGCCCACTTTCTGTTGTCTGGTTCTCCCCCAATTCAATTCTAATATCACTCAAATGCCTGCTTCCAGTTGTTTGACTTTCCCTCCGATGAACGCTAGCATCTGTAACAGGCCCTTCTTTCCCAGGCTCAGCAGTCCTGCTTCTGCAAATGGGACAAATGGGTGTCTGCAAAAGCCATGCATCCACGCACTGAGCATGAAAACTGTGCTTGCACAGAGGCAACAGCCTGCACTTCTCGCCCATCTTGAAGCTGTCCAAGCACACTGCACAATCCACAGGGCTGCTTGGCTTGTCCCAATTGGCTACATAATCAAAGCTAGGAAGCTTCTCTAGGTCATCTTTGGACATGCTTGCTGTGCCACCTGTACTGGTGGCCATGGCAACCATAGAGCCATTACCAACCCCTCCTCTTCTGAAAGCCCTCCCAACAATCCAAACATGGACTAAGATCAAGAACCCAATTCCCACAAATAACAATATGACAGAAAAGAAGATTGCCATTGCCACAATCTGCACTGCATCACCTGGAAACTCTTCACTCATTGTAAAATCCCCTTACTTCTCATTCTGTATTGGAAAGCTGAAAGTATCTGAAAAAAAATGGAGTTTGTGGGTTAGAAAAATAAGAAGAGCATTAGAATGTACTAATTGGAAACCAACCAATAAGAAGGCAGCTCTGTTTTACAAAGAGGGAGGAGATTTATTCATGACAACATAAAGTAGATTAGATTACCTAAAACACTGGGTAAATGAGGCAAATTTTAAAATTAATTCAGAGGAGATAGGGTTAACTAGTCTCTATCATGGAATAGGTGGTTAAAAACCAAATGGAGTCCAGACGAAAAAGAAACGTAAGAAGATCCAGAGATTTCTCTCTGTTGCCTTTAGTTTTCATGTTTTTCTTTCTTTATCTAGGTTAAGGTGAAGCTCCCTGCAGTGTTAATGAAAGTAAAACTAATAGCCCGTCTGATAACCATTTCGCTTTTAGTTTTTAGTTTTCATTTTTTTGCGCTAAAACATAGAGAAAAATAAGAGTTAGAATGGGACTAAGAATGAGAGGAGAGAATAGGATTTATGTGCACGAATTTTTATGCTTTTTGGTTTTTTAAATCATATGTTTGATTGAGCATGGGGTTTACGTGCACGAATTTTTATCTTAGAACAATCTTGTGCTGCAGTAGCAAAGTTTGTTCTTACTTGTAAGATGGAGCGATATATAATTTCCAATTTTATAATTAAAAGGAGAAAAAAGGACGTAGGGTGCATCCACCAGAAAAGTTGAACTAGATCGGTTACCCACCAAGCTGAACCATTCAGCAACTGCTCATCTAAAGGATTTTTGAAAAAAAATAAATTACTATATATATGTTCGCATCTTATTGTTTTGTACTCGATAAGTTCAACAAAACAAACAGAGCACCTAGAAAATCCCAAATTAAGAGATGGATGATGAAAATTGCATTGGAATTTTCTTCTCCTTGCAATGGCTTATTATTTTTTAGACATTAAGCCAGTTAGAAGATAAGTTTTTGTACTCACTAAGGAAAAACAAGGGTCATGATCACAAAGCATCTAAAACCCAAAGCTAAGCGGGTGTAGTTAGCTATAGTGAATGGCTTGATTAGACTTTTGACCCAATAATATGGGTGAGGAACATTGTCATTGTGGGGGCAGATTGACAGCAAATGATTGAAAAAAGAAACATCTCAACATTTCATCAGCGTTGATTGAAGGAACAAGGCCTAGCTGTAATAATGACATGTGTGAAGAATATGATCATACGATTCTGGATCAACTACGTGCTCCCACCATAATACCAAACATATCAACCTTTCAAAGAATTTACAGACGCGAAAAATGAAAAAGATTTTGATGAAGCAAATCAAATCAAGGGCAGATATAGGCTTGCTAAAGCTCATATATGTTGCAAAATGGGGATAATACTACTCAAACTCGTGCGTGTTCAATATGAACCTGTGTCAGGAGCCCATAACGAGACCTTCCCGAGAGATATTGGTAACCCGAAGAACAGCTTGTGCACTAAGAGGCGAGAGTTTTGATTGACAAAAGTTCTCCCAAGAGCTCGGTTCTGGATGCTCAGATACTGATGCCGGAGTGAGATCATCAAATTTCTCATAAACAGTCTGCAGCTCCAGAAGGAGAATTCGAGCAGCCTCCCTCGACTCCGGAAGCTGGTCACTAAGCTGGGATGCAGCTGTCTGAATGAATTTGTCAATCCCATAAGCTTTGATGCCTTCAACGCCCTGTTGACAGACACAGGATAAGTGCATATAACAGGAAGAAACCAAATGCACCCTGTTTTCATTATCTCAAAACGTGCAAATATGTGATAACAGACAAGTAGATAAAAGAAATTGAAATGGAAATGTACATACAACCATGTGAGAAAATAGATTCAATTGTATATGTACAACAATATAACTACGTAGACTCAGAGAGAATAATGGTTGACAGGAGAAAACACATGATTGTTGTTCTTAAGCACACATTTCGTGTAGAAGTAAATGGGCAAGTACAGGGGTCGATGGGGCAAGATGAATCTACATAATATAAATACAGGAACAAACAAATTCAAAGAAACTTCAGCACTTGATTTTGAAAGCTAACGAAAGGTTAAGCTATTTCCACCAATTCCAGTTTCAGAACACAGAGTCCAAACAATAAGCAGACCCTAAACCAGTATAAAGGTTTACATATGGGCAGATAGTAAAGGGGAAAAAAACCTAATAAGATTCTGCTCCACACAAAAGATGCAACATCTAAAGCGGCACAAGAAAACAAGCAACTGCTGCTACAACTGAATAGAACTTAGACACCAATGTAATAGCAATTTGGGGGTTGGGGGGGTGAAGGAAATATTACCAAGACCAATCAAAACATTAATAGCCAAAAGTATGAAAGAAAGTAAAATTATATGAGAGCACTGAATTGAAATGCTGTGTGTTACTCAGAAAAATAAATAAATTCACTTTTGATAAATAAATGACAATTCAATAAACAATTTGGCAAGGAATTTAGCATATATAAGTCCTCATACCAGTCGTGGAACACTTCGGCAAAAGCACATTGATGCCTTTGCTCGAACTCTAGGATTTTTGTTCTTCAGATACGGTTGCAACTTTGGTAACAGCAACGGAGGGGAAACCCAAGTGGTCATCGCTACTAAAGCTCTCTCGGCTGCTTCACATACAAATCGTTTGTCTTGTGAAGACTTAAGAAGCAGTTGTAGAAGCTGCAAGGGTCGTGTTTGATTAAATTGGGGGAAAATACTAACAATTAAATCAAATATAAGAGCAGAATCCTTTACTATAAAAACAAAGCAAACCAATATAGCAGCAAAACTTCAAAGAATTCAAGTTTACCAGAGGGTCCAATGAATCAACTACAAGATCGTTGTAAGCATTGAAAATATCTGCAGATGTCATAATTGCAGTTTTGCAAACAGCACTTCTTGGATTTTTCAGAGACCTTACCACCAGTGAGATCACATCTCCCCTATTGAACAAAATGATGACAATAGTTAAATCGGTCAACACTGACAGTCATCAATAACACATACTTCTGACAATCAAGAGCATTATGTAAGAACATGACACTTACAACATATCAAGCATGGCTTCCTTATGAAATATAGAAAACCGACGCACATTATTGAGTGCTTCACACAGCAGAACCCAATCTTTAGATTCTAGTCCAGTTACGAGTGTCTGAAACATCAAACAAGAAATGTATGCACATCATACAGTTAGCTACATACATACAAATATCAATGCATAGTCATCAGAGGCGAAAGGTCAGGTTTACACAAAAACACTATGAGAAGGCACATAATGAATACCTTGAGACTTGTATCAACATCCTCTAGATCATTCAGATTCTCTGACTCAATGTATTCTACTTCTGCAATTCCAACCTCAACACCAGTATTCGCAACTTCGGCACCATTTATAGAAAGTGCACCCAAAGCAGCAGTGGCTTTCTTCTGGCATTCTTCCTGATTTTCATTAGCATTCCCAGCTAAGGGCTTAGTTATGCTCCCTTTGCTAGAGCTTTCATTCTTCTTCTCAGATCCAGGTATGGCGTTGAGATCTCTCAGAGCTGTCTCTGACATTACTGTTGGCTTTCAACTCTGAAACAAACTAATTACGACGGTGAACAAGCAAACTCGAATGCAATAAAACAACATCCACAATAGCAAAGAATATAGATAGAAATTCAATTCCAGTTGCTTGAAAGATCTAGAAAACCACAAGCTCATCCTCCAATTCTCTAATGCATTATGAAAATACTACACATAACGATAACAATACGCGGAACAAATTACATTACAGCTAATGCAAATCGCCTCCTCAAAGTTTCTCCTAAACGAACAAACGATGAAACCAAAATTCTTCCAATAACCAAACAGAATCAGTAAAACTGAACCTAGCAAAAGATCTAGGGCTCCAAGCACTAGCACCATGCTAAATAAATAAACAAATTATAATAAAAATATTAAAAACAGTGAAAGATGATGACGATGATGATGATGGTGATGATGAAGTTAAAAGGTGAGTCTGAGCAAACTACAAGATCTCGCGGTACAGTCCCTAATCGTACTATTCTCCCCTTCAAATCGGACAATTTATTCCAATTCTACAGTGGTTATGAATGGGATTTGAGCTTCAAAATAAAAACAAAAACAGCAGCATCAATTATATGAGAGAGAGAAGGAGTACCAGAGAGAAGTAGAAGAGACTGATCGGACAGAGAATGAGAAAAATGCGATCGAACAAAGAGCAGGCGTCAAACAAGCTTTGAGTAAGTCCACACTGAGAAAATAGGCGGACTTTAAATAAGAGATTTTTTTGGGTTTCTGTAACCGGCGAGACTTGGGCTGGGCAGACAGATGATGAGACTCGAACGACGCCGCTTATGGTATTTGGGTATGAAAAAAACCCGACCTGGGCCGGCAGACTCGGGATCCTGCATGTGACCGCCTCCCATATCATATTAATTCTGTTTGTTGTGATTTTGGCTTCTCATCCACCCACGGTTTTCGCTTAAATTTCTAAAACGCCACTGCCTCTCATTATTGTCGTCATCTTTTTATTACAGGACATATTTTTCGGTCGTTTCCTTGTTTGGAACTTGGATAGTTTTGAACTTGACGCTCCAACACAGGAAAATGAAATTTTGGCTTGCAAATTTGAAAGCAAATAAATAACGTAAATTTTTGGATAGATGCTCTATCATATTGGTGCGTCCACGATTTTTCGCGTTAAATTTTAAATTAATGGAAAATAATGAGTTGAATTTGTGTTTATACAATTGATAGTTTTTTTATATGAGAAATTATGGAATTGCATTTATAATTCAATTAAAAAAGTCATTAGTCACAACGGGTCATTGATCTAACATCAATATTAAGATAATTTAGGGCTTCTCCCTAACGACCACGTATGATGAAAGCAGTGGCGGAGCTAGAACTATAAGATCAGGGAGGCCGAGATAGAAAATACAAGTATATCAAATACATATAAGTGTTCAAAACACATGTTAGAACTAAATTTTTCAAATTTAAAGGGGCCATTAATTTAAATTACAAATTATCTATTAGTGAGTTGTATATTTATTACATTAATATAATATAGGAGAGAGGTCCAAAAAAATGGGGGGGCCAGGGCACTCCTGGCCTAGGAGAGGCTCTGCCACTTGATGGAAGAAACTTTGATATAGACATCTTAATACAATCAATAGTTTAAACTACTCTAACTTAATGTGATATACGATAAGTGGAATTTAAAACTTATCATTGTTCCAATTAACTGGTTTAATCCAAATCTATATGATTTGGTTATTATTTATGAACAGGGGTTTGTCCCATTTGATAATTTGAGAACCCATTAGGATCGTATGGTATGGTATGTGATAGGGTGACCCTAGTATTGAGGTGGTGATGGCCCGTCTTCATATAAAGTTTTTGGAGTTTGGTTCCAAAACACTACAGCCACCACATGCGCGCCAATGTTGTCGGTGCACCCGCCCCTTTCTCATATTTATTTTCTGGGCATGAGAGAGGATGGGATGGGGCATCTATTACTTTTTAGTTTGTTTTTTTTCCCTCGCAATCACCCATTCTTCGCTACATATCACATTTCCTTTTCAACTTGGAACTTTCCATTTCGTTTGGTAGGTGCAGAGCATAAAAAATTAGATTGTTCTTATGGGAAAAATAAATGTTTAGTACATGACTGCCTAATTTGCTTAAATATTTATTTTTCTTGACAAAGCAACAAAATTAGTACTTAGGTGTTAAATTTTCTTTTTCCAAACTTTGCTGGTTGTACCTGGGGAAGTACCAAAAATAAAAATCTTATAAATAAATAGGCTTATTATCACAAAACATCCTTGAGGTTTGCGAAACTATCAGATTGCATCCCTTATGTTTTTTTTTGTTATTTATGGTCCTTAAGGTTAATAAGTGTCCTCACAAATAGTCTTTGCTGTCAGTTCCGTTAAAAAGTCTGTTAAGTTGATGATGTGGCACATATGTGGGCCCACATATCCAATAATATGACGCCACATGGATTAAATAAAAAATACATTTTAAAAAATAATTTCAAATTATAAACCATTTTAAAAAACTTTAAAAAAAATTAGAAACCCCAAAAAAAAAAAATCACCACCTCCTCCATTGCACCAAACCCCCACATCCTTCGTCCAAAAAACAAAAACCCCCATATCCAGCCTCCTCCATATCCCAACCTGTTATCCCAAATCAACACCCACAACAGCCAACCCAAACCTTGATATGCCAGGAACCTCACCCACTGCCCGTCTAATCTCCACCACCAAAGACCAAAATTGGATGGTGGTTAGTAAAGGCCAAATGAGCGGGTTGGGTGGGCTTAATGGTTGTCTGGGTTTGCTTGGAGGGGAGGGGAGGTGGAGTTTAGGTTGGTTGCTGTCAAATAAAGAGAACATGGAAGAGAGACAAAAAGGGAGAGAAAAGGAGGAGGGCGGGGCAGTGGTGCGGAGGGTGGGTGAGGATAGGTGCGGCTGTTGGAGGTGTGAGAGGGAGAGAGAGAGGAGATGTGGGTGGGAGCGAGGAGAAAAATGGGGGAAGGAAGAATGGTGGGGGTTGGGGTTTAGTGCGATGGAGAAGATGATGGTGATTTTGTGTTTTTTGTTTTTAATATATTTTCTTTTCTTTTAAGTTTTTTTAAATTTTTTATAAGTTTCAAATGTTTATTTTATTTAATCCACGTGGCGTCATATTATTGGATATGTGGGACCCATATATGTGCCACATCATCAACTTAATAGACTTTTTATCGGAATCTGACGGCAATGACTATTTGTGAAGACACTTATTAACTTTAAGGACCATAAATGACAAAAAAAAAAACATAAAGGACGCAATGTGATAGTTTCGCAAACCTTAGGGATGTTTTGTGATAATAAGCCAAATAAATATGACAAATAATGTATCTTCAATTTGAAAATGAAAACCATCCATATACATCTTTCCTTTTGAGTACGTAACAGGAGAGAGAAACACTCATGTAATGAGAATAACATTGTTTTACTATCCCCAATCAATAACACAATGACACGTGAAAAATATGCAAGGTTTTTGGGTAACGGGGGAGGGGGGTGAGCAATGATGACAACAGCCGCACGATATGGGCCAGCAAATTCCATGTAGACAAGTTCCTTATATTAAATATGGGCCAAGAAGCCACAAGAGCAACATCTTTAAAAGCTACAGGTTATCTGGATTGGCCTTTTCTGTATTCGTCTTATCAGATAATCCACCGCTAATTAAATATTTAGTATTTATTATGGCAATGGTAACTTATTAAATATTCGTCTTATAAAATTTCAACTATAGTTTAGAGAATTATTAATGCTTTAATTCTTTTTTAGTTTATCCTATATTAAAAGTTTATCTATGTTCAATCTACCTCCAAAAATCTCAAACTTTCACATTTACTTCCATTGATAGACCCTCTCCATTGTCGCTGGTATCGACGTTGACACCAATTTCCCATCCCCATCCCCCACCACTCTCTCTCATCCCTCTATTTATCTTTCTCTCTATCATTTTTCTTTGTCTTTTCGGAACAACGACTATAAAGTTTTAAGGTGTGATTGTTAAATGTTATAATATTGATAGAAGACATGTTTCATATGACGTGTACTTTGGTGTAGTATTAACATATACATACACGTGGTATAATATAAGTGGATCGTGATACAACGAATAAGGAAAAACAAAAGAGACGTATTGAAATGATAAAGCTCTGTGTGTAATTGATAAAGAAAAGAGCCTATAAATAGGCTTTACATCAGAACACTTCATCTAGCACTAAACCACAACTCCTATATAATAGGATGACACTAGGCACTTTCTCAGCCACGAAATCAAATAATTAAACACCTAAAGACTCAGTCAAACTACCAATGACTAGAACATAAATATTATAAAATAAAACATTTAAATCTTAACATCCTCCCTTAAACTGAAATCTGCAGAAATCAGTTTAAAAGAAAATCCACAGCAGCACGTGAACAAACTCCAAGTAGACCACGCAACCTCACAAATGTAGCCAACTTGAGAGGCTTGGTCTGTATATCTGCAACTTGATCTTCACTTCGACAATAAACCAGTTTGATTGTTCCATCATTGCTGAGATCTCTTAAAAAATAATATTTCACATCGATATGTTTGCTTCTGCCGTGTAGCACAGGATTCTTGGAGAGTTTGATTGCTGAGTTGTTGTCACAAAAAACTGTAGTAGCTTCAACTTGTTTGAACTGAAGCTCTTCAAGAATTCTTCTCAACCAGATAGCTTGACAAGCACAAGCTGTTGCAGCAATAAATTCAGCTTCTGTAGTTGACAAGGAGACAATTGGTTGCTTCTTAGAAGACCATGATACGGCCCCTGTGCCTAACATAAAAACATAGCCCGAAGTGCTCCTTCTATCATCTTGATCTCCTGCATAATCACTGTCAGTAAACCCAAACAACTCTAACTTTTCACCCTTCTTGTAGAATAGCCCAAAATCTCTAGTTCCTTGCAAGTAACGAAGGATTCTCTTGGCAGCTAACAAATGTATTTCTGTTGGATTTTCCATATAACTACTTATTAAACTCACAGAATACATTATGTGTGGCCTTGTCGCAGTTAAATACATCAAACTGCCAACAATTTGCTTGTAAATTGTACTGTCCACCTTCTTCCCTTCATGATCTTTGTTTAGCTTCAAGCCAAACTCAGTTGGAGTACTTACAGGATTGCAATCCTTCATCTGAAACCTGTCCAAAATATCTCGCACATACTTCTTTTGTGAAATAAAGATCCCATTAGCTGATTGCACTACTTCTATGCCAAGAAAGTAATGCATCATACCAAGATCAGACATTTCAAATTCAACCATCATAGATTTCTTGAATTCTTTAAACATGACATCATCAGTTCCAGTAAATATAAGATCGTCTACATATAAGCAGACAATGAGCAGTTTCCCCTTATCTCCAATTTTAACAAAAAGTGTGTGCTCATATGGACATTTGTGAAATCCTTCTTTCAAAAAATAAGCCTCAATGCGACTATACCAAGCTCGTGGAGCTTGTTTTAATCCATAAAGAGCTTTCTTTAATCTATACACTTTATGCTCATTTCCAATCTTAATATGACCAAGGGGTTGTTGTACAAATACCTGTTCCTCCAAGTTTCCATGCAAAAATGCCGATTTGACATCTAGCTGATAAATAGGCCACGAGTTTTGTGCTGCCAATGCTATCACCAATCTGATTGTGTCATGTCTTGCAACGGCCCACATATCCAATAATATGACGCCACATGGATTAAATAAAAAATACATTTTAAAAAATAATTTCAAATTATAAACCATTTTAAAAAACTTTAAAAAAAATTAGAAACCCCAAAAAAAAAAAATCACCACCTCCTCCATTGCACCAAACCCCCACATCCTTCGTCCAAAAAACAAAAACCCCCATATCCAGCCTCCTCCATATCCCAACCTGTTATCCCAAATCAACACCCACAACAGCCAACCCAAACCTTGATATGCCAGGAACCTCACCCACTGCCCGTCTAATCTCCACCACCAAAGACCAAAATTGGATGGTGGTTAGTAAAGGCCAAATGAGCGGGTTGGGTGGGCTTAATGGTTGTCTGGGTTTGCTTGGAGGGGAGGGGAGGTGGAGTTTAGGTTGGTTGCTGTCAAATAAAGAGAACATGGAAGAGAGACAAAAAGGGAGAGAAAAGGAGGAGGGCGGGGCAGTGGTGCGGAGGGTGGGTGAGGATAGGTGCGGCTGTTGGAGGTGTGAGAGGGAGAGAGAGAGGAGATGTGGGTGGGAGCGAGGAGAAAAATGGGGGAAGGAAGAATGGTGGGGGTTGGGGTTTAGTGCGATGGAGAAGATGATGGTGATTTTGTGTTTTTTGTTTTTAATATATTTTCTTTTCTTTTAAGTTTTTTTAAATTTTTTATAAGTTTCAAATGTTTATTTTATTTAATCCATGTGGCGTCATATTATTGGATATGTGGGACCCATATATGTGCCACATCATCAACTTAACAAACTTTTTAACGGAATCTGACGGCAAGGACTATTTGTGAAGACACTTATTAACCTTAAGGACCATAAATGAAAAAAAAAAACATAAAGGACGCAATGTGATAGTTTCGCAAACCTTAGGGATGTTTTGTGATAATAAGCCAAATAAATATGACAAATAATGTATCTTCAATTTGAAAATGAAAACCATCCATATACATCTTTCCTTTTGAGTACGTAACAGGAGAGAGAAACACTCATGTAATGAGAATAACATTGTTTTACTATCCCCAATCAATAACACAATGACACGTGAAAAATATGCAAGGTTTTTGGGTAACGGGGGAGGGGGGTGAGCAATGATGACAACAGCCGCACGATATGGGCCAGCAAATTCCATGTAGACAAGTTCCTTATATTAAATATGGGCCAAGAAGCCACAAGAGCAGCATCTTTAAAAGCTACAGGTTATCTGGATTGGGCTTTTCTGTATTCATCTTATCAGATAATCCACCGCTAATTAAATATTTAGTATTTATTATGGCAATGGTAACTTATTAAATATTCGTCTTATAAAATTTCAACTATAGTTTAGAGAATTATTAATGCTTTAATTCTTTTTTAGTTTATCCTATATTAAAAGTTTATCTATGTTCAATCTACCTCCAAAAATCTCAAACTTTCACATTTACTTCCATTGATAGACCCTCTCCATTGTCGCTGGTATCGACGTTGACACCAATTTCCCATCCCCATCCCCCACCACTCTCTCTCATCCCTCTATTTATCTTTCTCTCTATCATTTTTCTTTGTCTTTTCGGAACAACGACTATAAAGTTTTAAGGTGTGATTGTTAAATGTTATAATATTGATAGAAGACATGTTTCATATGACGTGTACTTTGGTGTAGTATTAACATATACATACACGTGGTATAATATAAGTTGATCGATAAGGTAATTTTATCAAGTTAGACACGTGTCATTTACGATTGCTCGGAGATTCATGAGAAATCCAATATGAAGTTTGTGGATAAGGCAATTATGTCAAGTCATAAACTACATTGCCAATTATTTTACAGTGCATGAGGTGAATGCATCTCAGACACTAGACATTTGTCAAATCATATGAGGAACCACATTATTATATACTTGTCGTTCATATTCCGTTCACGAGACAAATACATCGAATTTACTGTCTTGGACACCTCATCTACATATTTTACGAGAAACGAAATGACACTGAAAAATTCATAGCTAAAATAGACATTACACCTCCAATTTACGCATCTTACAATGGAGATGCTCTTAGCACCATCCATCCATGATATATATAAATATATATATATATGTGGTGTATAAAATCTATTAACCCTAGTTCTAAGTAAATTATTATTGTATAGAAAAGAGGATGCACATAACATGTGATAAAAAGAGACGTTGAAAGAGCAGAGCCTTCTAGGGACTGTAAACCCAGGAGGTTCTCGTGTCGATTGCATCATTGTACTGTTTGGAAAGGCAAGTCCAGTCTAGGGCTCTCCTTATAGGTCCACATGTGCAGCTGTCGTTCAACAACAGCGAGTACACGCATATATAAAATCCCCGGTGACTCCGCCCTACTTTACCCTTCTCATCCATTTACAACAGCAACAGCAAACAGCAACAGCAACATCAACAGCACTCACAGTTTCAAAATTTAAAGAAAAAAATAAAAGAGAAAAAGAGAGAGAGAGTCAGGTCAGGGCCCTTCGATACGGTCCTCTTTCGGTCTCATTTCTGTCTTCTTTTTCTCTTTGTCCCTCAAAACCCAGAGCCAAAACCAAAACCAAAACCAAAACCAAAACCAAAACCTCTCTTTCTGTTTCGTTGTCAAATCTCAGCCGTCGGATCCAAGCAATTTCCCCCAGGCTCTGAACCCCAACAATGGTTCGAGCGTCACATCGGAACTCACCGACCTCGAGCTCCGAACCCCGACTCGGATAATGGAACTCAACGATTCAACTAGCGACGAACTCAGAGACGCCAGGCCCGCCGCCGCCGAGCCCACTCGCTCTTTGCTCGGCATCGATCTCAATGAGATCCCTTCCCCGCCCGAAACCCTACCCGATTCTTACGACGTCGTACGCTCTTATCACGACCACCCTTCTCCGTCCGCTTGCCCTTTCTGCGGCAAGCCCGAGGTTCGCGGCCACGTGGTCGTCTGCGACGGCTGCGAGCGCGGTTTTCACCTCACCTGCGCCGGAATGCGCGGCCGCCAAGCCGTGAATTTGGAGGAATGGGTCTGTGAGGAGTGTACGGGCACTGGGGTTAGGAGCAAGCGCTGGCCGCTTGGAGTTAAGTCCAAGCAGATTCTGGATATCAACGCTTCGCCGCCGAGTGACGTCGACGACATTGAGGAGTTGCGCGATTTGAGGTAGGTGGTTTCAAACATTTTCCAAGATATTCAATTATTAAACTTATTTTTGTGCTTTTTTAAGTTCTGCTTTTGATTCCAGTTCAAAAAAAAAAAAGGTTCTGCTTTTGATTCTTTGAGCTCGTATATGAAAATTAATTTAAAAAGAATGATAGTAAAGGCTTTTTAGTATCTCACCAAGAATGCCATCCCTTGATATTTTGTGGTTACCACATTTCCCATCATAAATTACTTGATGACTGATTTGGAGGCTCATTTCCAAGCCATGCCCAAGGACCCCTGTTCACCATATTAGTAGACTAGTGCTTGTTCCAGCACCTACTTGCTATCAGTGCATGCTTGCAAGCATATGGGCCATGCTAGTGCCATCATTTAGTGACTGCTATGGAATTTACCAGTTTGGCACAGGGTTCCCCTTTTTTTGCACCCATAAGTCCAATTAACAGGCTTGATGTTTGCTTCCCTTGCTCGCTCTCGCTCTGCACGTGACATATGAAAGCCACTAGCTTTGCGTACACTTAAGAAGTTGTAGTTTTGGCATGGAAACTCTCCACGTGACATTCGAAACCCACTAGCTTCGCATGCACTTAAGAAGTTGTAGTTTTGGCATGGAAACTGTCCATTTGACATTCGAAACCCACTAGCTTCACGCGTACTTAAGGAGTTGTAGTTTTGGCATGGAAACTCCCTTCCAAATTGATACATTTGTATGTTAATTACAAATTTCTTGTTTACCGGGAACATTTTTCTTTTTAAAAAAGTGACATTTTTAAAATAGGTGAGGCCTGTTTTAAGCTTCTTGTTTATAACTGCTTTAAATTGGATTGTGGAGTCGGATTATTGTATACATGCTAATCTCTCGTATAAACCATGTACGAAAACTAGAAAAAGGGCAGCTTTTAACTTCTATTTGGACCTTTGGTATCCCTACAAAGAAATTTAAGTAGGTAAAAAAAATTTCCAAAATGATTTTGTATATTTATTTACTTTTAAACAGAAAGAGTTTGCCTTTACACCCTGGAAAAGGATGAAAATATCGTGAATATAATATTGGTGCTCAAATGTACGGATATATTGATATCTTTTTTATATTTGCAACTGCCAATTTTTTGTGGTTGATGGGTAGCTTAATTAGGATTGGGTTTGGATTAGATGTGATTCAAAACATTTATTAGGGTCGGGTTTGTCGTCCTTGCGTCTTCTTCCTCTTCTTTCTTTCGATTTCGAATCAATATCGGTGGAAATCAAGCATTTCTGCTCTGTTAAAGGCCGATATAGGGGAAATCTTTGGGATAAGGGGGAAATCTTGGATACATTGGTGAAATTTCAAGGATACGGTGGAAGAAATTGCTTCACCCCTACTATCGGTTTGTCAGCATATATTTTCATCCTTGCACCCAGGTAGCCCTGTAGATCAACTTCCATATTATGCCTTTTGTTGTTGTTCTCCACCTTTAATCTGCCACCACTAACGCAAATCAAAACTGGGGCGGCATAATGATGTGCAAACTATTGCCTTATTTCTTGCATTGTCCACATGCATTTCTAACATTTTTGTCGCCTGTTGGTTTTGCCACTGCTTTAATTTCTAAAATTAAAATGGTAAAGTTATTCTGTATTATGGATATTTTCTTGCATTTTCTAAACTTATCATTCTTGCCTCTTTTGTCTATTACTCATTGGTTAATATTTTATAAATTTCTTTAAATGCATGTTGTCCATAAGTAGTTACTGCTTAAACTTATTTTGATTATAGAAAGCACACTCCCGGTGGTAATTCTTTTGGTGGCAATCCATTTGGTGCCCCAGTGACATATTCAAACTTCTTGTACCCTG